TATAAATTTGATAAACGAAATGGCGTACGATTAATGTACTTCTCAAGAAAATGCTTGAAACATATACTGCTGAATTTAAAAGGTTACCAATTATACTTGTTGACAAACTGTATCCACGCGCTACGTTTTTTAGGATTTTTTGGAAATCTATAAATATTATTTCGTATGAAAAAGTATTATTCCAATATGGGTAGGCCCAAAAGTTGATAGATGATTTTTTTTTGCATTTTTAAAAGCATACTTTTACACATTTTATATAAACGTGTCATAATACTGTCCTGTATAATATTTATAATTTTGATACTAACCTATGAAACGTTATTTCAGTCGATTTTTCACAAAAACGTCTATCGCTAGAGCAGGAACGTATAACACATCAAGGCATTATATACTTTATAAGTTTGTAACACTCAAAATTTGCTCAAACACAAATTATATTCAAATTTAATTACACAAATTACAGTAAAAATATAACCTATAAAATTTGACAATTTGCACTCACAGTAATGGCGGACCGGTCCCACTTTTCGTTTACGCATGTCGTATCCCTAGGTTGCCAGATCAATGATTAAAACGCACCTATTAAAAATACTGCGCCAAGATGTAGGCAACACGTAATAAGGGACCAAAATGGTTTTCTATCTCCTTTTAAAAAGCACTCAGAAAGCTGCGCAGTGCGAACATTCTCCTAAAAGAAAATCAAAGTATGTGCCGTATATTAAGAGAAAGCTATTACCACCGGTGTGAAGTTAGCAGTAAGTTTTAGCAGTAAAAATAACCGAAAATACTGGGGTCTATTCTGTAACAATTCCTTTATATTTAACGGCCTTTAAAAATATTTTCTTCTTTACTTCTGTCATTATTTAAACGGATCTTTAAAATACATTAGAGGACTATCTTAAAGAAATCTGTTTAAATAATGACAGAAGTAAATTAACGAATACGAAAATATATTTAAGGCCACCAATATTTTTAAAGGCCATTAAATATAAAGGAATTGTTACAGAATAGACCCCTTATCCGATCGGGAAAATAGTGGCCTCCGGCTTACAACTATTTTAATAATCTTGTCAATATGTATTTTACATTAATATCGGACAAATAATTAATATACATACCGTTGAAAATGTCCGATTTTGAGATTATATCTAAATTTCTCAAAAATATATTGGATGGAAGATAGCCATAATTCGTGAAATGCAATACTGGTGCCATCTAGCAACAGATAGTCACACTATCGAGTTGATAGACCTTTTCATCATGTGATGAGCGCAAGCGCAGCCACCATGTTGAAATAGCGGTAATTCAAAAGTTTCGTACTGTTTTGATCGACAATGGCTGGGAAAGCAATGTTATCTCTACAGAAAAATTAATCATTAGAAAAAATCGTTGATAGTGAATAACTTTTTTATAACTCTGTGGAAGCGCATAGTTGTGAGCAGTTGAAAAGGAGGTTGAAGTGTCTTGGATGTTTGTTACAAAGGAACAAAGTGGACTAATTGAGAGGTTAGGTGTATCAATACTTTTTAACTCTGTAAAAAATTAATGAAAACAAATAATAATTATAACTTTATTCTAATTAATTATGCCAACCAACTATTACTACTTGCAAAAACACTTTAATTAGCATGAAAGTTAATCACGAGTATAATTAATAAAATAATTTTTTTATTATTTTGAGGATCAACATGACATTTTTAATCATTTAATGTGTATACCGAAGTAGTATTTAATATTAAAAAAATATTGTTTAATACCACATGAGAATTTTCTTCTGTTGGGCCACTTTCTCCATGAAAATGCAGTGAAATATAAGTATCTTTAGTAACATCATTAATCCATCGAAAACCGTTGTCACTTCGACCATATTTTTTCCCACTTAATGCACATTTCGAATATCTTTTAATATGGATTTTGCCTGATAATTGTTTACGATATTGCAGTTAAGGCTTTGGAAAATTTATAAAATAATATCTATTGCCTTTGAATGATTTATACCGTGTCACGCGAAAGACTAAGACATAACCAAAGATTATTGGATATCTTGGATTTTTGGTGAAATTGTAGTTAAAACATGTTTTTTGTGTATTTATAAATTGATATTATTTTATTTATGTGGGTATATTATTTTTACCCCTCTTTCACTAAGAAACTGATTTTCTTAAATTAGTTAGAAATTGTGGGAGCTGCTAAGGGACTGGCAAATAGGTAACACAAATTGAGAAATTTGTAGTAAATTTAATAAGACCTTTTCGAAAATTTTATTATTTCCGTTAACGAAAGAATTTCTTATATATATAGTTTCTCGAAACTTTCGTTGCTCTTCTATACAAAAGCTACTTTTTCTTTTTTCAATATGTGAAAAGAAAAACTAAAAATAACTCGATAAGTTTTAATTATACATAATCGAATATTTTCACTTGTCCTCGGTCGTCAAGCTAGCGATTGCTCGGCACGGCATCTGCTCCAGCGCAGAGGCTCGGCAGGTAATCGGTTACCCAAAAACCACAACAAATACAAATAATACCAACAGTAAATTTTAAAATATCTTTAATGTTATTGGTTATTTCGAAATATTCGTGAACTTAATATCAGACATACGTGAAACTATTATTTCCATGGGAATGTCTATTCCGACAAGTTCGAGAATTGCATAACCTATTACCATGGGAATATAAGTAGTGGAATCTTTTCCCATGGGAAAATTTTCCAATGAACTCGAGAATCGAGCCCCTGGGGGGCTATTTTCAAACTCGAGAGAATTCATTTCCATCAAGAGAAATGTCATACGTCAACGTAAAACCGTATTTTTGGGGCTCTTAAGGGCCAGTGTGAACTCACTGACTGTTTCTCTCGGTTTATTTAGAGATAATTAAAATTCTCCTAAAGGCTGTATGTCACGATACTAAATTAAGTACTAAATTTAGCACTAAATTAAGTTATTAATTTAGTACTAAATTTAGAACTAAAAATATTTTTTTTCCGTTTGCAACGATACCAATTTTTAGTACTAAATTTACTATAGGCGCACGCGCATTGACGTATTAATACGTGAAATTAGCAGAGAAATGAAATATTCTGTGTGAAACAGACAAGTGAAGTAAATGGTGCTTTTATTATCAATTTGACACTAGTTGACTTGACAACAACCAAATACAGCATAATAACCACGAAAAAAACACAATAAAACCTACAAAATCAAACAAGCGAACTTTATTCAAGGCGATAATGTAAAATTGTCGCTAATTAAAAATAAAAGGGAACAGAAAATACCGTCGTGTCAACTTTTTCTATGAAAAACTTCTGCGCAACATTTCGGCGCACTTTTAGTACTAAATTTAGTAGAAAATAGAACAAGATCTAACTTTACTTTTAAATTCTTTATTCACTGTTTAAAAATTTTTACAACACAATAAATCAACATATAAATAAAAACACACTGTACGCAGTACAGATGTGCGACCCTAAAAGTAAACCCTTAAGGTCTAAGGCGATCCCTCCGCCTGTTACATGCCGTATACTTTATGTATTATGATTATGCTAAATATAGCCGCCCTTACTCCTTACCCTTGGGGTATTATTAAGGGATTATGTGGGATTGTGATCGGGAATTGTAGGTAGTTTGTGTGTCGTGTTTTAATTTCGTATTGTCCCCTGAAAAAGCTCTAATTAATTAATGACTTTTTTTAGTACTAAATTTAGTACTAAATTTGCTGTTTGCAACGTGAATTTTTTTAGTACTTAAAAAATGCATTAATTTAGTTCTAAATTTAGTACTTAATTTAGTATCGTGACATACAGCCTTAAGAATTTTAATCCTCGATGTCTTTAAATACAGCGTTTCCACATTGACGTATGACATTTCTGATGAGAATCTTGAGAGAAATGAGTGCTCACATACTTTGAAAATAGGTCCCCAGGCCTACAGACATTGCGTTCGGTCTGCCAAGTTCCTTTAACTCCTTTAACACTTTTAACTCCAACCGACCCTTTTACCGTTAGGTTTAGTCCGATTAGTGACAGTTTAACACGCTTAAATGTCATTTAAAAGCACCCTAAAATTTGTCCCGCTCAATGAACTGGAGTGGGGTAGAATGCTTGTCAATAGGCTTGAGATGCGACTCTATGGGCGAAGACAGGTTATTTTTCATCTCACTCGGGAGTATTTATAACGACCATTTTCTATTTCACTTTGTTATTGTCTGATCCACCAGCCTGTGGATTGAACAATAACAATGTGAAACAGAAAATGGTTATTATAAATACTCCCGAGTGAGATGAGAAATAAAAATGGCTGCGCCCATAGAGTCGCATCTTGTTCAATTGATAAAATCAATGAACTGGAGTGGGGTAGAAAGCCAATGTGCATATTGTATCAATAGAATAAGATGCGACTCTATGGGCGCAGCCATTTTTATTTCTCATCTCACTCCGGAGTATTTATAATAACCATTTTCTGTTTCACATTGTTATTGTTCAATCCACAAGCTGGTGGATCAGACAATAACAAAGTGAAATAGAAAATGGTTGTTATAAATACTCCCGAGTGAGATGAAAAATAACCTGTCTTTGCCCATAGAGTCGCATCTCAAGCCTATTGACAAGCATTCTACCCCACTCCAGCTCATTGGATAAAATATGCACATTAGCTTTCTACCCCACTCCAGTTCATTGGTCCCCCTCCAGCCCCTGACTGACCGAACTCGCCTAGAGTTGCCATATCATAACCTGTCAAAACCCACTGGTAGTCATTCAGTTTGGAATGCCTAACTGGTGTAATTTACACTGATGGACACTGCACCAACAGCGAACGAAAGAACCTAATAAAAGAACACGTCTTTTGTCTGTCAATAATGTCAAAGTTAAAAGTAAAATGAAATGGTTTGTTGCTATTCTGCTTGTTTGACCCTTAAAATACACTAATTTTTAATTTAATCTAAAATGAAAAGATTCGGTCAAACTACAATAATTTTGATTCTCACAATGAATTGATATAATCTATGAAATGGAGGTTTATATATACGCTTAGTATAAAAATGCTTATTTTAAAGCTTTTTTTGTGTATTGTAATAATGGTTTACAGTGCTTTTGGAGGCGAAGAAAAATGCCCAACCAAATGTATTTGCAAGAAAAGTGACCCTAATGAAGGTTTTTTAAAAATGACTTGTGGAGAAACTGTTAAAGTTTACCATTTAGATGAACTGGATTTATTAAATTTAGCTAGCGAATTAATTCAATTGTAAGTATATTAAAAGTTACAATCTTTAATGAGATAGTGATATGCAAGGATGAATATATGAATACTATTGGGTTCTCTCAAAAATGTAACCAGATATTCTATATTGGGGGAAGTATCTCCCTTTTATAAAAGTGTCTCATGTTTTTTCTCTTACTCATTTAAAAAATACCTATATAGTCTGAAACCCATAGTTATTTATCTATGGGAAACGATGGGATTGCCTTTAGAGACATCCTGCATGGCAATGCAAAATATTTTTACTTTTTATATGATCTCTATCATGTTTTGTCTAATTTATATGTCATACTTCTGTTATAATCTTTATTAACAATTATGGGATACAGATAAATCCATAAAAAATAAATAAGTTTAATGAGGTTGATTCCACAACTTAAAGACCTTATATTATTACTTATTTTAAAACTTTTAAACAAGAAAATAGAGATACAAATTTAATGCTATTAAACCGAGGTCTGAGGAAAATTTGTAGCTCACAATTTTTTTAAAAAATTATCTAAAACCAATAATGTTCCCATAATTTCAAAAACTTAATTAAATTGTCATAAAAATGATCATTTGTGATTTTAAACTTTTGAAAGAGCAAATGTTTAATTTATTATTATTGATAAATAACCATTTTGTTTACAGGAACTTATCAGGAAATGGTCTTAATTCATTTTTGCCAAAAGTAGAACTTATAGTACTTCAAAAATTGTAAGTATCTTAGTTTCGTCCATTTAAAATAAAACTATTCGTAAGGCGTGACGAGATTTTAGGAGACTCGAATAATTAAAATTTATAAAAAAATAGCTCCTTGACATGTTAAACGCTTTGTATATATGTCGTAGGCTCATAGTGAAATCCGTCTTTTCATGAATATCCTTGTCATATCACGAAACATTGGCGTTACGTGTGTCTTTTTATCCAACTGTTGCAGCAATGTTGGCATCGGTGAGGTATGTAAACTGTTATTTATTTCAACGGTCAACCAGAATCCAACACAAAACGTTCAAGGCCGCATCGGTGAAACAACGGTTGCAACAAACCGGTGAAAAAAAAGACACACTTATCTTGTGTAAAAACATGAAACTACATAATCCTCAACATAATCCGCTAAGGGTTTTCATGAAGAGCCCGTAGTATTTTAGCAAATTGTGTATAATACAACCATACTAAATTAAAATATTGTGGTTTCATGAAATGTGCACAAAGGCTAGGCATATTGTGTTTAAATTAGTCTGCCTAGATTATTACCGAGATGTTGCATTATATAGAGTGAGTCAGTATTACATAAATAGTACAGAGATATAAAAAAAATGCTGCAACCTGAATCAATACTTCCACACCACTTTAACATTTTATCATATAAAATACTTTATATCCCTAAGAATATTAAAAACTATTTTAGAACTTTCTTGATTATGTCCATTAAATTTAAAATTGACAATTTTTTTTTGTAAAAACTTGTTTTTGGACATTTTAGAGCTAATCTAACAGTTGTAGGCAAAAAATTGTTTTTATTATCGATACAATATTTATCCTTACCTTGTGTGATAGAATAAACAAAAAATGTTGCATGGCTTTATATTAGCAATGTCATGATCAATATCCTGCAATTAAAATGGACAGCTATGTGAAAAAAAATTAAACTAGTTCTTAAGCTTATAGTAAATATGAGATCTAAAAGCACCATATACGGATTTACCCTATGAATATATTGGGTCCACCCTATATTATCTAGCTCAAAATCAAAAGGGGGTGGTACAATTATTGCAGTAAAAAATACATTGCAATCAATACTGATGAGACTGTGGAACATGTCTTTGTAGAATATATTATAGGAAAACCTAAATCTCACAATTTTATTATTCTTGGTGCTACTTACATACCCCCAGGAACCGATAGTGAAACTTATTCTATTCACGCTCAAAGTGTTGAGGACTTATAAGTGCAGAATCCTGATGTAAATATGTATCTCTTTAGTGATTATAACCTTCCACTGGGTAAGTGGGAATTGTTGATAATGTTTTAAATGTGCCCTCCTGACCACCAAGGAGTTACTCTCTGTGAAATGTTCTCTTTCCTTAACTTATATCAAATTAACTCTATACCTAATAATCCTTGATTTTTTATTTAAAAATTAGATTTAAATCTTTTTAAAACGATTTAAATCTTTTTAAAATGATTGAAATCTTTTTAAAACGATTGAAATCTTTTTAAAACGATTTAAATCTTTTTAAAACGTTTTAAATCTTTTTATTGATTTAAATCTTTCTGAAATGATTTAAATCTGTAAAATGATGCGATCTTTTTAAAATGATTTAAATTTTCTTAAAGATTTAAATCTTTTTTAAGATTTAAATCTTTTTTAAGATTTAAATCTTTTTAAAACGATTTATATCACCTGATTCGTCAAAATCGTTATCAACCTGTCTATTCCTGAATAATAATCTAGTCAGCATGTTGAATCAGAAATCCGAGAGAAAAGAAAAACAAAATATAGTAAAGTGTAACAAATAATTGCAATGACTAAAGATTATTTTTAAGTATGAAATTTTACAATATCCTGAAACTCTTTACATATGTATTTTAAATTTATGCACACTTTTATTTCAGATTTGACATGAGTTGCATTAAGACGATTATGACTTTTTGACCAGTTCAATAACCACGCTTGGCATAGATAGAGCGAATTAATTAAATTTTTTATTTCTTTGCCTGATTCATCCACACATTTTTCAAAAAAATTAACCCAAACGCGCTCACTTTGGTTATTTATTTACTCGTAATAACTTCACGTTGAGAGAAGAACTCTTTTAATTCAACCCACTCAATTTCATTATTCATAGCGGGAGATTTTGAAAATGAAATGCATTTTTCCGGGAGAGTCTCCTAAGTATAAAAAAAACATATTTTTAAAGAGTCTGATGTATGTGCATCTATGTGGGGTGTTTATGTATGTATGACATTAAGCACGTTAACTCAAGGAAGAGTGATTTTTCAGAAAAAAATCACTTTTCTTAAAAACTAGGTCTCCATTGTTTTGTGGCATCATAGGCATACCAAAAGTATCTTTTAAATAGTTGAAAAATTCCTATTTACCTATTGACATGACATTTTTAAATAACAATTTTCATAACTATAGATATCAATGCTGCATAAATCCTTAAAAATTTTATCTTGATTATTTAAAATTAATATTTTCGTAAGAATTGCATTGGGCTAATAACGATAAAAAATAAATACGAGAAAAGTTGATCGAGTTTTGCGTTTTATTTATGAGAAAATCACATTACTAAAGTATTTATTATCTTTGGCCTACCGAAAGCATTTTTTAAAGAGTTACCCAAATCTATAAAAAGATTTAAATCTTTTGAAAATATTTATTTCGTTTAAAAAGATTTAGATATTTCGAAAAGATTTACATCTTTCGAAAAGATTTAAATCTTTCGAAACAATTTAAATCTTTCCTAAAATGATTTAAATCTTTTGAAAAAATTTAAATCTTTCGAAAAGATTTAAATATTTCGAAAAGATTTAAATCTTTCCTAAAATGATTTAAATTGTAAAAAAGATTTAAATCTAAAAAAAAGATTTTTGATTTAAATCTTTCTTTTTAAAAAATCGATCTTTGATTTAAATCATTTGTTCAAATGCAAATGATTTATGATCTTTGATTTAAATCGTTTTTAAAATGATCTTAAACAGCTCTGCCTAATAACTACCACCATGTTGCTCTTGTGGGTTCTCTATCACTATCTGTTAATTGCAAAAATCTTCAATACACGGAACATTACTATGATTTCAAAAATGCTGATTGTAGAGGTCTGAATAACTATTTAGCACCAATTAATTTGGTACAAATTCTCAATGAAACCAATATTAACTCAACTATAGCTAAGTTTTATGAACTAATCAATCCATTAATCTTATTTGTCCTAATAAAACGATAAAAAATCTACTTTCCTGGGTTGGTTCAGTCCTAAACTTAAACAACTTATTTGGCAAAAAAGAGGGCTCATGCAAAATACAAAAGTACTTCCAATTATAACGACTATTTACAATTTTCAAGTTTAAATTGCAGGTGCTATGCTAGTTATATAAAAAAAGTGATAATGGGTCAATTACAAATGATCCATGTCAGTTCTGGTATTACTTTAATTCAATAAATAAAAGTTCTCAACTTCCTGATCAGATGACTGTAACCAATTTCGATTCAGTCCTCTATTCCAAAATTATTGGAGAAGCTGATAAATAATTGTTTATCTTGGCACTGTAAAAACTTATTTATTGATCACACGGTTTTAAAAAAGGAAAGTCTACTACAACTAATCTTGTTATTTATCACAATTACATAATAAATACTGTAGAAAACGGTTTGCAAGTAGATGCTATATATTCAGACTTCTCTAAAGCATTTGATCAAGTCAATCACTAATTACTATTAGTCAAACTGCAAGCCTACGGATTCTTTCCTTTTCTTCTATAGTGGCTTAAAAGTTATCTCATTGGTAGAATGCAGGATGTTTAGATAAAGAATTATGTGTTTGATCCCATAGAAGTTTCTTCTGCTGTACTGCACAAGGGGCCCACTTAGCTCCTTTACTTTTTAATTTATTTATTAATTAATGATGTTGGATCTGTTTTTGAATACAGTAATTATCTGCTGGTAACAGTGGTAATTGTTGTAAAAAACTTGAAAAAGATTTTCATGCCTTATGTGAATGGTCTTCCTCTAATAGTTTAATCCTCAACAGTAGTAAGTATTACCGCATTACTTTTATAAACAATCGTAATCAAATAATACATAACTACAGCCTGGATAACAAAACATTATCTGTATCTGTAATGTGTGGAGGGTGGGTTACCCCACGGCACTTAGGCTTCACTAGGCCCATTGTACATCCTCCTAAGATGATAGGCACCTCCTAGCTCGTGAGACAGCCTACAGTTTAAATGTAGTTGACAATGTCGCCAAGAGGTGCTTCTCTTATATCGGCCAGTGTTAGCCGATACTCGCCAAACACAAATCTTCTAATAAATGAGAGTGCCAAACAATCTTAGAGGATATGCTCAATGGTCTCATCTTTTTGTTCGCAAATCCTACAGAGTGCGGATTCTAACGGACCCATTATATGGAGATGCTTCCGTACTCACCAGTCAGAATGCCTGTGACTAGATGCAGATTCGGTCTAGTCATAGTCAAGTATTTGTTTGCTGCAATGTCGTCACTATTGATTTTGTCAGGGCAATAGAAGGGCCAGTTCAAAAAGTATTTGGTTGGCTGCTTTCTTGGCCAGTGAATCATATTTGTTTATTGTATCTTTACAAGTTTACAATTATTATCATCTCTAATAATATTATAAAACTTACAGACTAGTCCCAATAAAAATTATAGTAAAAAAATTAAAATTTTAAAATTTTACATCCACACCTCCATGCACACCTAGACACAATCTACCTACTTCCATCCACCTATTTATCAATGTAACACAGTACAACATGAACAGTTTTAAAATTGTTATAAAAATTGAGAAAAGAATTTAATTATAGTAAAATTTTCAAGTTTATCAACTTATATTATTTATTCCTGGTATGGCACCCAAAAATTCCTCAACTGAGTAGAATGAAATCTCGATTAAGTACTTTCTTAATTTTTCTTTAAATATATTATATTTGCAGTTACCTATTATCTTGGTTGAGTGATTATAACA